GGGGATTCTGGGAGTTGAAGTCCACACATCTTAAACCGTGGCTGTTAGGGGATTCTGGGAATTGAACTCCACCCATCTTAAAGCATGGTAGTTGGGGAATTCTGGGAGTTGAAGTCCACCCATGTAAAAGTTGACAAGCTTAAGAGACACTGTTCCAACGGAAGTGGCTTGTGACACGCCTGAGGGATCCGGCCCCAGGAGTGATCGTGGAAGGGCAAGGATGAAGCAGTAGATAGAAAGATGCCCACCCTTCTGCCCAGCTGTTTCTTACCGCCATGCTTTCAGGAGCAACTTTGGCATTTTGAGCGCTGACCCGTTTCCTCTTCAGCAACTCCTTCACCGGCTCTTTAACCCGGACCCCTTGGTATGGGCGGGATGGCAGAGGCTGCTCACCTGCAGAAGCTGGAAAAATGTTGTCAGCGTTAGTTCCCTCTTTAGTGCTACAAAGAGGCTTCATGTCGATCAGCATTTTGCAAACCTGGCAACTGCAAGAGGGGTGGACTTCAACTCCCAGAATTCCCCAGCCAACTGTCCACCCCTTGTGCCACATTTGAAAAACACGGAACCAAAGAACAGTGTGATTGTTTGCAATGCTGGCGTCTTCCCAGGGCACCCTCTGGGAATTTTTATTATTTTTTTTATTGTGTTTTTAATTGCTTTAATTGGGCCCCTTGTGAGAGACAGGTGGCTGTAGAAATTGAATAAATAAATCAATAAATAACCTCCTGGGAATTATAGTGCAAACAAGGCTTTCCAGGCTGGTGATGGGGAAAGGCTAATTCTGTGTTTTTTTCAAAATAAAAAAAAAACAAGCTATAAATAATTATCTGGCTGTAAATGTTTTAAAAACCATCCTTAAATCTTTGGACAACTTTCCAGTGATGAGGAATGTGGTATTATACCAGCCATGGGGTCATTTTCATGGCATTCCTAGATGATGTAAATGTATAGACATGAAGCCAAGTTACTTGAGCCAGCTCTCTATCTTTAAAATCAGAGAGTGTCCATGATTTAATTTATTGACTAATCCATTCCACAGCACTGATGATGTTACCTAATTGGGTAATGAAATGTCTGCAAGAAAACAACCAAGCACAGAATCTTCCTCCTCCTCCTCCTCCTCCTCCTTCCCCCCAATGCTCCCTTCTAGCACTGATGATGTTACCTAGTCGGGTAATGAAATGTCTGCAAGAAAATAACCAGGCTCAGAATCTTCCTCCTCTTCCTCTCCCTCCTTCTCCTTCTCCTCCTCCTCTCCACAAACCCTCCTCCCTTCTAGCATTGATGATGTAACCTAGTTGGGTAATGAAACATCTGCAAGAAAACAAGCTCAGAGAGCACCAAGGACCCCACAGTCCACAACTTCCCAAGCAGCAGAGACCCTGGAGTTGGCAGCCGTCCTTTTACAAAAACTCTGCCAACTTTCCACTGACATCTCTAAGCTTCTTCTAAATTGTTTTTAAAAGGGACTTATTTCACACCAATCTCAACCATTGCTCCTCAAGCCAACTTCCCTTTGGAAAAAAGCAACTGTCATCATAAGAGGCTTTGCACGGCTGACTCTGTTTGAGGCTCAAAGTTTGGACTTTACACCCAAGACTTGGGCAGGTGAGAACCTATCATTTTTATTTCATTTTAATTTTTGCTGTGCAAATAAAAGCAAACAGTTGTGTTTCTTTTTCTTCTCCCCCCCCTCCCTCCCCCCCCCCCTTGGTTCTCCAATATAATTGCACACAATAACATTAAAATAATAAGCTTTTGAGAAGCCACAATGGAAATCTTTTTCCTGTTTGCAGAAGCCCTTGAAAAGCAAACGTTTGCTTGATAAAGAAACAAGCGCGCACACACAAACACACACACTCGCAAAGAATAACTATCGTAAAACTTAAGCCGAGAGCCAGCCAGTTGGAGATCTTGGCTCACAACTAAAATAATAAAAAAACAAATTAAAAAGGAATTGCGAAAAATGTTTCATGTGCATTGCCCATATTTTTTTTTTTAAAAAATACATAAGCAAGGTTTCTTAAATTTGCCCATGGAGCCAACGTATTCAGGAAATTGTTCTTAAAAGAGGTGTTGGGACATTTCAAAATGATAGCTTTTCACAACTAGGTGAGCCATCTATCCTTCTTCCCAGAGGCACCTAGGAATTATAGAGTGCTGATGGAAACACCTTCAAACTGGGAAGATTTTTTTTGGGGGGGGGGGGGAGTTATGGATGATGATCTAAACGCACTATCCGAAGTCCTGCCCATTTTTAATTCAGGCATAGCTACTAGTTACTTGCAAGGAAGAAGTCCTCACTGCAATTTGTCTTCCCTTCAAGAAGATCAAAGCAGAGATATCATCCAAAGCTCCTTTTCCAATGGACTGAAGCAACATTCTATAGGTCAGAGGCTCATATCTAGTTTGGAACCAAGATACTTGTGTCCCTCAGGACTTCATATAAGCACCCAGATTATCCACATAGTTCCATCAAACAAGTCAGGGAGGTATCTGTGATAGTCCATTGCCCATAAAAAGCAAATGGTGCTTCAATTGCCCCATCAGAGACACCACCTAAGTTGACCATAACTCTTGAAACCTTGAAGTTACATTTTCAGAGGATGTATGAAGATCCCTCCACTGAGAATATCAGTGGAAAAAAATGGGAGGACTTACCTGAATGTCTCCCAGTATCTTGTCTGAAATTAAGTCCCTTATTGGTCAACTTAGGAGGAGGAAAATCCTCATAGCTGACTTGATTTGTCCAGAACTATTGAAGAACAACATGGTTTGGTGGACTCCAATCTTGACATCACTCTTCGCCTATATTGACCATGTATTGTGGATGCCTCTGATAAGCACAGAAACATACAAGGCCTATGATGCTACCCAAGGTTCAGAGGTTGGTAAATACTAGTTGGATTCATAAAATATGCAAAACCATGGTTTGTTGAACCACTGTATATTGAAAATAAAAATAATAATTCACTTAGTTCTTCATCATGGTTAGCCCAAGGCCAAATGAGTTAGTTTATGGCTTAATGTCACTTTCTGACCCCAGTTTAGGGAGTGGACAATGCCAGGTGGAAATGTTAAAAAGTTGGAAGGGAGGAGATTGGAGTCAGGAGATTGGAGGGCTCTCAGAATTTCTGAAGAAAAAGAGCAAATTACTATAGGATTGTTTTCAAGAAAATGGCATTGCTATTCAAGGAAGCCTCTAAAAATCCAACTCAACTCAGCATGGGCATGATGTTAAGGCCCAATCATTGCCAGGAGCAAAATGATTAAATCATGTTAATCGTGTTTACAAGATGTATTTGAGACATTATTCAGATATTTGATAAAAGAAATTTGGCCCAGAGAAGTGGAGTAAACAAGCAAGGAGCCATAGGATCATAGGAGGAGATAAATGGAAAATAGCAGGAGGAGGTCCAAGGTCTAGAAACCAGAACTCAGGTCTAGAAACCAGAACTCCAGACCAAGCCAGAGAAGCTGGAGGTGAATGTGACAGGGAACAGGCAAACATTAGAGCAAAGTATCAGGAAGAAAAGCTTGAGTGAACTAGAAAATAGCGAATTTTTGATGGCGAGTAGTTGGAGGAAACAGCTGTTGACCAGCTTATCACTTCTTCCTTCCTTTTTCAGAGCCAAACTGGAAAGGTGGAGTAGTTATGGTTAGGGCTAATTTGAAGAGAAGACTTGATAGCATAAACGCGAGGAGGCCAATAAAGAGAAATGCGTGCAACATCAGGAAGGAAAATGCTCTCATCTTGGACCTACTTGGAAGCTGCTTTGAAGAACATCTGGAGAACATCCATATTAGATCCATCCAGTGGATGCTGATTCCACACTAAGGTCTCTCCAATCCAGCATCCTACTTCCAGCTATGTTTCCTAGCAAATCACCTGCATGGCTTGAAATCCAAGCTGTTTGCCATTGCTTCTCTCCCCACTGCCCCTGAATCTAGAGGTTCTACAACCTGAAACCCAAACTTCTGTTTTGCTGTCACAGCTAGTCACTGTTGAGAGTTGATTGCCTTGAACACCCATCCCAAAGATCTGGGATAGGAAGTTAAGGAGAACAGGACATTTCCAAAGCTCCATCTTAGAAGGAGCCATGGGAAACGAATCTCTCTCTGACCTCTCTAGACCTTCTCCCTATTTGGCAAGTATGACATTGGGTAACAGGCTGAATCTGTGGGAAACACCTCCTTCCCCACAGCATTGGTGTTGCCAACTTAGAGCTAAGTCAACCAGTCAAAGATTGGTTTGTTTATTTGCCTGTCAATTGCCCTATCACCTCATTAGTGAGCTCAAGGCCCTCAATTTGACACCCTGTCCAGATGCCCTGGCAGTGTCAATATTGCACATCTCTGAGCTTGTCCTGTCGTGTTCACAGGAGGGCACCCACAGGGCTCCATTGAGAAATCGACACAGCTCTGGCTTTCTCTGGGAAAAAAAAGATTCTTTGCTTTCTGAAAGCAAATGGATAAGTACAAAGGTGTGAACTTGGCAATGCCAAGCTGACCTGGCCACGTTCTTGTGAAGTTCTCCTTTGGCTTGGTAACCCACGTTCAGACCGATGAGGTTATTTTATTTTATTTTATTTTTTTAAAAAAACAAGTTTTGAAAATCCTGCTCGCCTTGTCATCGGTGAGCAGCTGGTGTGCAAAGTTTCAGTTAACTCATCTATCCCCATGGGGGGTTTTGTGGGGTTTTGATGTCCTCCAAGGCGGCTGTGCCTGAACGGAGATGGGCATGGCTGGCCACCTTACTGTTTCATCTTTCAGTATCACCATTTCTGTTTTTCAGACCTGGGTCCTGAGCCTTAATCTGTATCTGTATCTAAAGCCTTCCCCCTGATCTGCTAGCAAAAGGCTTCGGAGGCACAGGCTGAGCATGAAAACGCCCCGAGAATCGAGGCCTTGAATTTCTCTGCACCAGTTTAATTTGCCCACTCCAAATTACTATCCTCCAACTAACAAATCAATGCCTCTCCAAAGTCTTTGAGTACAACTTGGAGCCAGGCAGTCTTCTCCAATAATGCTGCATCTGAAGATCTTGCTGGTACCAGAATGCCAACTTGACTAGGGGTTGTCCTAAAGGTGCTTTTGCAAAAGGCAACTGGACTTCGTTTTCCCTTGATGAGGTTTCGCTTCTCATCCAAGAAGCTTCTTCGGTTCTGAGAAACAGAACTGGAAAAATGAAGTCTAGTTGCCTTTGGAAAAAACATCTTCGGGACAATGAGGACCTGGATGACCTGAGAATCTGCCTAGACATTGACATGTGGTTCTTTCCGATTGGATTCACCCTTATAGCACCCCCTGTCCTATGGCAGGTAGGACGATGGATATTTCCTTGAATGCTCCAGGGGGAGCACATTGCCCCTGCCTCCCATGGCATGGATGTAGGTTGCACCACAATCCAGGTGGGGAGTATATGAAATCCATGCCAGAAAAGAAAGCCCCAAGAAAGCAGTGAAGAGAATGATTAAAGATGACCCATCTAGTTAAGGATTTCCAAATGTATCCTTATCTTTGGTGCTCTCTGGGCTTGGTTGTTTTCATGCAGATGTTTCATTAGCCAACTAGGTAACATCATCTTCTGATGTTCATCACGTGCTTAAGGTAGCAACATTTTACCATTTGCTTGAGAGGAAGATCCACTAAATGCAACTGGATTTGAATAAGCAAATCATTTTTACGTGGCTGACATTTAAAAAAATGCTCAACTCTAGTTGTTCCACAGCTTCCCTCAAACCATAGTTTGCCAAAGCAACGTTCCTCAGCTAAGTCCCAGAACTAAGTCATCAATCACAGCGAACCAGAGTAACCAGATTCCCCACCTAAGTTAAGCAAAAGTTAATCAGCATGGTGCTTCGTGTAATGTCTGAATCAAGCCATTCTATAAATAGTCATCAAGGATTAAGACTTTGTCCTATTTATTGGTAGAGTTCATTTCTCACCAAAAGTATTGTAGGCTTGTCAAACTTGACCCAGCAAGCTATGCAATTTGAAGATTTTTTTCCACATTTGGAACTGGTAATTCACATATTGCTGTCCCATTGTTGTTTTTTTGCATTAAAAATTACTTTATTTTTTCATGTAAATAGTCCTTGCTCAGTGTTTTTTTTCCATTCAACCAGTAATCAGAGTTATAAAATCTATCTGTTTACAATTATTGCATTCCAGGGCAAAGTTAAATTTCCAGAGAAGCTCCAAGCAACATATTTTTTAATAGCTTATGTTTGGAGATTATTCTGCTTTCTGTTTAAATCTATTGTCTGCTGTCCTGTTTTTTGAAGCTCTGAAACTAGCAACTATTCAGAAACAATGGTTTTATGTACATTTAAATAACATAGTGAAAATTATATAAATTTGATTAATGGGATAGAGATTATCAATAATGTTAGTGTGTACTGGATTAATATGAACGATTCATAGTTAAATTTGTTTATATATAATATAGAATGTTTAGATTGAACAGGAAAGATAGAGATGAAGATAGAGATAAAGATGAGGTTAGGCATTTTTTGTTGATGTATGTTTAAATATTCAAAGAAGAGTCATATAAATTTGATAAATGTGATAGAGATTATTTACAATGTTACCATGAATTTGATTAATATGAAGGATACTTAGTCAAATTTGTTCAGGTACGATAGAGAAATGTTTAGATTGACCAAGAAGACAGAGATAAAGATGAGGAGTTAGACATTTTTTGCCTATGTATGTTTGAATAATATAATGAGGATTACTTAAAATGGATAAATGTGATAAGAGATTATTAATACTGTTATGTTGAATTGGATAAATATGAATGATACCCGGAACCAACTCTGTTCACACACAATACGGATGTAATTAAAAATAAAAAAAATATTAAAAAGAAAAAAGAAACAATGGTTGAAATTTGTCTGATTTCAGATGAAGAATATCTGCTTTTCCATCTGGACTATTAATTCCTGATATCTCAAACAGGACAATTCTTCGAATTTCTGCTCACGTTATAGTGACTTTCAAATAAACTCATGTCGAAATTATAGTTTTGATATTGCCGCGGTTTACTTAACGGCTGTTATAGTGTGTTCGCTTTATATTTATTTTATTTTATTTAAACATTTATATGGCCACTCATCTCAAAACCAGCTCAGGGCAGCTTCCAATCCAAAGTTAAAAAGGCATACAAAATTGTATTAAAACAAGAAACCTAAATACAATAAAACGTTAAAAACAGCAAAGACTTGGCACCAAGTGAATATTCTTGTCTGATTTTTATTTGTTCATTTGTCTTCCTTATTTACTAATCTTCCAGCACTTGGGGGCTGAGAACCACATCTTCAGACCTTTACTGAAGTCTAGGAGAGGGGGAGGCCTGCCAAATTTCATGTGGTAGGGAGTTCACAAGGGCAGGGTCTGCCACGGAGAAGGCTCACATAAGATGGCAATATTTAAGGGAAAGGAGAAGGAGTGTGTGCACTCTATTGGGCCTGGGAGGACAGCTAGATTTCCTTAAATCCTGCAGGTAAATGACCAACACCTTGAATTGCACCTGGAAGGAAATTGGTACCCAAAGCACCTTGAATGACAGAGAAGTTATACTGACAAATCTAGAAGTTCCCATTACTGTTTCGCTGGGGCATTCTGGACCAATTAAAATTCCCAGGTGGTTTTCAAGGGCAGCCCCAGGTAAAGCATACTGCGGTAATTCAGACAGGAGATGACCAAGGTATGAGTGACCACGAGCCAGGCCTTTAAAAGTACATTTGACTTTTTTTCATTTGCTATTAGCGAATGTACTTTTTTCTTGAATCGGGTTAGTTAATTTGTAATTACTATATACTGTGCATGACAGCTAGAAGAACACTAGAGTTCCAGGTCTATGCAAATTATTTCAGAGGAATCCCCTTGAAGACCTGTGAGGATAACTCTGTTAGCTTTGGGCTGGTTGGGAATAAAGAAAAGTCCTTAAAAGGTTTGCCCGCAGTGACTATTTTCTTTTCTTGTCTAAATAGTTTTATGTATTTGGGTTTACTATCTCCATCGGGGAGAACTCGTTCCCTGTTTCCTTATTATTTCACATTTTTTAAAAAAGCAAGGGGCCTCATCCAAAATGGAAAATGTGTTTGCACTGAGCATCACACGAGCATTTTCTTGGTTTTTTTTTCTTTTTAATGCTTCAATTGTGAATTGTTCCATGACACTTTTGCTACAGTGACTAACTCTCTCAGAAGCATGAGGAGGGGGAAAGCCCAAGCTGTTATTATATAAATGGGAAATTTATAAGCCTCCGTGCAAGGTATAAATCTTGCGGTTGAATTTCTTTCATCCCTGTCTGTCTGCAAAATGGGCCTTTGATTTTACTCCTCTGGTCTCGCCCATCTCCCCTTTTCTTGTCGATGAGAACTGAACGCTACAGATAATCTCCTTTATAAATTCCAGCTGGGTTGGTGCAAGATTTAGACCACCTCGTGGTGAGGTTCTCCTGCTTTGGATCTCCTGCTCCTCCTGATCTTCGGCCAGCCACACCTTCTCATCCTTACCTTCTCCACTTGTGGAAGACACTCACGGTCTACCTACCCTACAGGAGCATCAGTGCCGTAAACATGGAAAGCGTTTTGGAAAACAAGCAGCATCTCTTTGCTATAGTTCTACCATTCAGCAGCCAACAGCTTCTGTGGCATTTGCTCAAGTTACAAAAAGAAGAAGAAAGAAGAAGGAGAAGACTTCACAACTCACATTTTTGCCAGTGCATGTCTGTGGCAGGATGGAATCCCCCTCTGGTCCTTCTTGATCTGTTGTTGTGGGGGGGTTGGGGGGTAGTTCTTTTATGTGATATCAGCCTGTCAGCATGCCTGTTTCAGATTTTTTTTTAAAAAAAGACCAGGTTTCTGCTGTGGGGTGTGACGTTGTCACATCCTCTAACCACAGAGTTTTTTTTCCCCTCCCTCTCTTTCATTCTGTGCTATTTGATGTGGAGGATGCTGTAGTGTAAAACATGGTCCTATCTGAGGGAGGAGGAGGAAGAGGAGGACAAGGACAAGGAGGAGGAGGAGGAGGAGGGTGGTAGCGATGGTATTTCAGAAGACCCAATCGAGAAGGTTGTTCTGAATCTTAGGCTGGGATTGCCCTGAGATGTACATCTGGGTCATAGAAAACAAAACATGTGTTTTACGTATCAAAATTTATGTACTGAATTTAGGATCTACACCAGAGGTCTCCAAACTTGTCAACTTTAAGACTTGTGGACTTCAACTCCCAGAATTCTCCAGCCAGCAGAGAATCCTGGGAGTTGAAGTCCACTAGTCTTAAAGTTGACAAGTTTGGGGGACTCCTGATCTACACTAAAGATCAGCCAGAGAAATAATTTCTCAGAGTTGGGGCCAGTTAGAGAAGATAAGACCAAACCAAATGAATCAGAAGCCATCTTCTGACAGAAAGAGTTGCGCCAGTGAAACTCCACAGAATCCATGGGCCCACTCCTAAATCTCGCTCTGGCTATGAAACAGCCTCTTCAAACAGGCACCAATTATAATCCAAAAGGGATTTATTCCCTTGGATTTATAGCACGCCATTTTTCCTTCTGGGCAAATGGAAATCTCACTTTGCTCGTTAGTCAAAAGGTCACATTTTTGTCCTAGAGAGAAACTTTGTCCCTTGACCTAAAATGCGTTATTTTTTAATTCACAGCAAAGGATTGAGATGCCCCACCATTTCAAAACTGCAGAGCTGGCTGGCGACTGAGTCCTCGGGTTTGGGGGTGGGGAAACAGGGCTGTCTGTCTATCCATCTGTCTGTCTTTTTTTTTTTTTTTGCTTCTGCAGAAGATTCTCAATTCCCTTGGGGTCATCATCTCAGCCCTGGAGAGGAAACACCTGGATGTGCTTCATGCTTCGTTGGGTGCCAAAAAGAGAGAGAGAGAGAGAAAGAAAGCCGCTTCTTTCAGGTCTCTTAGTGTGTGAGATGACATTTCCAAAGAAGGAGGCTGAAAGCTCTGGGTTAGTCGTGGTTTCAGCAAAATAATATTTTGGCACATAGAAAGATGGAGTGGATGTGGACGTTGTGTAAAGGCAGAAGGTTGAATTAAGAAGAACTCTAAATTGAAGGATTTAGCCTTCAACATCCAGAATGGCCGAGGTAGACCTTTGAGATGCCACCAGCCTGCGTGGTTTTCTTCATCTGGCACTTGATGCTCAAGTTAAGAATCTGTCGAGTCTGTTTTTCATCCGTTGTATTCCCCTTGGAACCCTCCAACTTTGTGCAAATTTTGTAAACATGGTGTATCACTTGCCGTGTGGTATGGACTCAGGAAGTGGTGATTCACAATATATCAGCATTATAATATACATACAGACAGATAGACAGACAGACATGTATACAAATAGGTAATCAACCTAGGATGACAATTGGAAGTAGAATTTCCATTGCTAAGTGAGGTGATTGTTAAATGAGTTGCATCCAGGTTCATGACTTTTTTTGGCCACCGTTTTTAAACAAATTGTCAGCTTTGGAAGCCATATTAGACCAGAAGCTTCCACACTGCCACATTCTTGAGCTTGGGAAACTGGGAGGGGGGATTTCATGGAGTGCATAAGGTTCAACATAATAGCATTTTTCTTCTAAGTCAAGGTCATGTTATCTCTGCACCTGGATGAGGAGTGGTTGAAGGGATGTCTCAAGATGGGATGGATGGTGATGGGGGCAGGGAGGGTGGGTTTGTAATGTTTACTTATTGGAGGAAAACCCGGAACTTTCTGATTTAGGTTTTCCCAGATGTGCCAGAATATAAGGAAACTTTGAGAAAATGCTTGTTTCGGAGTTTTTAATTGGAGTTCGTTTTTTCTGGAACCCTGACACAAATCTCTTCAGTTGTTGAGTCAATCACAAGGTTGGGAAGTAAATTGGGCTTCCTCCATTGACCTTCCTTGTCACACATGAGCCCAGGACACGTGTCATCAAATGCTAGTTGCCAAATACCCACATTTTAATCACATAACTGTAGATATGTCATGACAATCCTAAGCATGAGGACCGCTTGTAGGCAGCTCCAACTGGTTACTAACGGAAATGGAGGACTACCTGTGTACATACCCAATTGTTGGCTGCCATTCTTTGTTGTATTCCGCTCTAGGATGAAATATTTTCTTTCTTGTATGTCTCCTTGGGAGTTGCAAGGACACCCAACACCCGTTTTGGGTTTCAACTCTTACACTTTATAGAATAGAATAAGAGAGGTGGAGGGGACCTTGAAGGTCTTCTAGTCCAACCCCCAGCTTAGGCAGAAAACCCTATATCATTTCAGACAAGTGATTGTCCAATCTCTTCTTAAAAAACTCCAGTGTTAACAGCACCCATAACTTTTACAGGCAAGTTGTTCTACTGATTAATTGTGCTCGCTGTCAGGAAATTCCTCCTTAGTTCTAGGTTGCTTCTCTCTTTGATGAGTTTCCATCCGTTGCTTCTTGTCCTGCCTTCAAGTGCTTTGGAGAATAATTTGACCCTCTCTTCTTTGTGGCAGCCCCTCAAATATTGGAACGCTGCTATCATGTCATCCCTGGTCCTTCTTTCCGTTAAACTAGACATACCCAGTTCCTGCAACCGTTCTTTATGTTTTAGCCTCCAGTCCCCTAATCCTCTTTGTTGCTCTTCTCTGCACTCTTTCTAGAGTCTCAACATCCTTTTTACATCATAGTGACCCAAACTGGATGCAGTATTCCAAGTGTGGCCTTACCAAAGCATTATAAATTACTTACTTGCTAGCTAAGACTGATGAGAACTGGTCCATATCTTCTGGTCTTTGGTCATTCATGGCCTGCTCCACAGACATAAATTTGTGGTCCAGGCTAATTAAGGAAGTTCCTAAGGATTTTTTTTTTTTTTTTGTCTTCTTCAACCTTTATTTCTCATCCATTACAGTGCAAGACTTTCTTTCTGAACATGTTTCTGCAGAAGCCAGATTTCTGGCTTTGTTTCCGCGACACGGGCAATTTCTTTTTTTCTTCTTTTTTCCCCCAAAAGAATGTTATCTCCGACTCCTCCTTAGAAACGAACAGCCTTCCACAAAGAAGGAGCAGCAAATAAGAGAGGGGGAAGAGAAATTCCTGGGGGGAAATGTGAGGGTGGGCTTCTGTCTTGCAAAGGGGTCAAGATGGAGGAAAAGACCTGAGCAGACGTGCCTCCATCCTATCCCTGATAAATGTTGGAAGCCCTCCTGAATTCTTGGTGACCACGTTCTTCTCAAGCCTGAGATTTGACTGCAAGATTACAAAGAAAAAGAGTTTGGAGCAGAGAAAAATAGATGAGGCTTCAGATTATTGAGGTCTTTGGGGGAAAAAAGACATCGGAGTTGCATCTGTGGCCTCCAAGTTGGCCATTCTCCCTTTGAAGACCTTCTTATTGGCAAGTCAGAGTAGATATCAAAGTCCACGAATGCCCCACAGCACACTCCATCTAAAGCTCTAGAGCAGGGGTGTCCAACCTTGGCCACTTTAAGACTTGGGGACTTCAACTCCCAGAATTCCTCAGCCAGCTG